AGTTTTATATAAGTATTATATTTTTCACATAATTTTTCACAATGTTTTGCAAGAGGTTTCGTATATTTAAGAATTAAACTGACGTCGGTTATATAAGATAAAATAAATATTATTAAGACAAAATTCTGGCTAAATATGCGAAAGTTTGCCAATTTAAACTAAGTTAGTTCTGTTAATACAATTTTTAACAGTTTTAACTTGTTAATTAAAACAAAACATACATTATCGAAATAAATATTATATTGAATAAAATATAAGTATTAGAGTACTGACCACACAACTGCCATTTTAGATTTCTGCGAGGCAGTCATACATTATAATTAGATATCTAATATCTATATATTATATTTTTCGAACATATATACCTAATAAAACTTCAGAGCGGATCAATACAGATAAATGATTATATATTTTAACAACTTTTAAGTAAATTATACTACCTACATATTACAAGACATATTATTATATAAGTAAAAGCAATTAATTTTTAATTTATGATAAAAAAACAAGTTTTTTCAGCTAATTCCTATATTCAATAAGATTTGTAACAGCAATGTACCTACAAACAGGTAAAAATAAAATACTTAAGGCATATTTGATATTTTGCCGTTTCGAACGATATAACTTAATAGCTTGACCAGACAACAGTATCGTCTTGTCAATCTTGAATGCCAAATGCCGGGCATTAAAAATAGTTGTTTTCGCCTAAATTAATGGATCGTAATAGGGAATGCAATGCGCGAACGCCAACGAGAGTAGTAGTGAAGAAGGGATAGAGGGTTGGCCATCAACCAAAAATATTTTATAAAATATAAGCTACAAATGAATTTTTTGTTATTAAATTCAAATAATTCAAATATTCTACGACATTATTAGCGAAATTACAATAGAAATATTGGTAATAGGTAGTTAAACGGTTAGTTAACTTATAATAAACCCAATTTTTAAGTATGATATATCAGTTACAACATTTTATTGATACAGTATTTAAACTTCAAAGAAAAGAGAATCACTTACACACTTACACTTACTAACATCAATTGTAGAAACGAATTGATAACACGCACAACTTATGCAGCATTGTGCTGGCCGACACAGCACAATTTGAACTATCCAAAGCCTATCATTTGTCAAGTAACTCAAAATTTTAAAAGGAGCTTAAGTCTCTCGGTAAAATAAGATTAACAGATTTGCAACAACCGTATAACGATTTTCTTAATATGTATCGATAATAATAGGCGCAGTGAGAACGTGTGCATAGAAAAAAACCTTCACAAGACACGTCAAGATTTTAGAAACTACACTTTATTTTAAATAGATACCTATTTAAAGATCTCCCAATGAAGCCGTTTGCATATGAACAAAGTGTATTAAATAATGGACCAGTAAAACGAATCAATAATAGGCTCAGGACTTTGTACAACACAGGTATACGTAATTTAAATTTAACAAAATATACAACATAAATACTTGCAAAATCAAATTTATAAATCCAAATGTTCTAAGAATTTGCTTACCTAAAATACAACTTGAACTAAACAGTTATTTATTCAGGCATTCTTTTTTTTTAAATATAAAGAATAAATGAACATAATAGTACCTATCTAAAACCAAGTTATATAATTTCTAAGAACGCAAGAAAGTTACGAATGTAGATATAATGTATTGATTTTGTACAAGTGCTTTACTTAGCCGAGTACACGTATAATATCTTACAAGTTACAATGTACAAGAATTTAGGAAAATGTAGGAAGAAGAATATGTTTATTACAGTAGAAGTACCTAAATACGCTGATGTTCAAGTTCATAGTTTAAAATGGTTGTTTAAAACCGTTTAAAACTAGGACTAGAACTTTAAATTTTAATGTTCTTAGAAATCGTTTCTATTTAGCGAAAAAAAAGCATCTATGTACCTTACTAATCGACCTTTACATAGATCTCTTTTTAAGAAAAACAAATAATGCAAGAAAGAGAATAATAATGCGCATGAAATGTATTTCAAATGTTTGGTTAAAACTAAGCAATATACATTTTTAAATATTTTTTTTTCTTTAGTCTTATAAGTCAAGGGCATAAGGCATAATACCCACTATATTACTGATAATATTGATAATGCAGTGATGATTACCCACCTGTCCCACCTAAAGACGTTTAATCTTAGGACAAAGTTCACTTTGCAAACAACCAGATTCTAAAATTAAATATAAATGTCAATAAATGAATTAGTTTCTTGAGGTAGACCTTACAACAGATAATTATACCCAGAATAATACCTATAAATTATAATCTATATATAAAATGAATAAGTAGAAAATCATTCTTTCAATATCACACATACATAAATTAATGCATTTCAAATATATATTTAGTTATCGGACGTGTATTTAAAATCTAGTCGAACGTTATATTTAGATATATTGTATGTACCATCTATTTTAACATATAACTGCAATAAGTGCATAGTCCTTTGACAGGTTGTTCTTTGGAGTTTAGACCTGCCATCAAGACTTATTGATAGTAAGTTTGATTTTATATTATGATGATTTGAATAATGAATACGTATGACAAATTCAACATATCTCCTTATTTTTCGTCACATAGGAGGGTAAGGTTAGGTATCTACATAACGTACATAAGATTATGATTTTAAATTTATAACTTTAATTTGTTTGAAATGTCAATAAGTAGGTACCGACTTATTCATTTGAGAGTATAATAAAATAAAGGGTTTAACGTATATGTATAAATAACCCGTACGAACTAATTCCTGTGTTTTAAAATAAACCCATAGGCTAGAATTAACAATATAGGTAGGTACCAAACTTCTTTTATCCACGTTCTACGACTATACTTTGATAACAATAAACTATCACACAAAATGAATACATTTTCAACAGTTAGTTGGTTAATAAATTGGTAATAAGATAATAGTATTTGGTATAGGCACAAACCAGTAGTTAATATTTAATTATTACAAAGGGTAAAAATGTTCAGTTATTTTTTTATATCAAGGTCTAGGTCAATTATTTATTGAATTAAGTAAATGTCTAAACATAAACAAATACAGGCAATTGTCATATTTTAATATTTTTTACATAACTTAATATGTTATTAATTTATACATATTAATTGTATTTAAATCTGTATTTTAGTCATCACTTGTGCCTACCTACTTATTATAAATGCTGTATAAATGAATTTAAACTACCTATCTTAAGCGTAGTTCGTGCCTATTTCAATAAACATTATAGGTAGGTACTACTCATTTATACACTTCATGCCAGCATGCATAATTTTATTAAATTCAAATAAGTACTTGGTCTGTAAACTAACTTAACAAGAAAGAAAAGTATTTACAATAATTTGTATGGAGTATGGACTCATTTTTTACTTTAAGATAACAATGTCTCAATGACAATATTTTTATTAAAATAACTACCTACAACACACCTTAAAAACGATTGTTCTTGTGCAAAAGTATCATATTAACTCTAAGAGTTTAAATAACTTGTTAATTAGACCGAAATACCACATAAAACATTCACATATACATTATTCATAGGTACTGGGTTACCGAGTATGAGACTAATATAAGTAGGTATCAAGTATCGTAAAATAAAAATAAGGATACAAATAATATTCAAGCGATTGTAGACGGTACTACTAGAAGATTTGTATGGAAATTTATCATTCTCATAGCATCTAAGGTGTACCTATACACTTAATTTTAAATTTACAACGATTTTAGTATTGGAGGTAACTCAGATCGTTTACTAGGAAGTGTGTTTTTAATGACAAATAAGTGCTTTAATTTCATACTTAGAAACAGTACATGAACTGTGGAGGAGATGAATTCAGGTGAGCACATTTTTTTGGGAGCATCCGAGTTGGGTCACAAGTACTAGGGGCTTATAGTAGTTACTACACTCGTTGGGTACCGGATTAAATGAGGTTCTGTACTAGTTCAGTCTTGGACTTTTTCAAGTAGTTACTGCACTAGTTGGGTCCCTAATATTTTTTAGTGAATACTACACCTTCCCATTCAAATAGTCTCGGGAGTCTATTTAAACCGACGATGAGGTTAAATTAAAATGTCTTTTACAGTTTCTTTACAAGTAAACATATAAATTATTAGAATTTTACTAATTACTACGATATAATAGAAATATAGGTAAAATATCAAGTATTAATGTCGTATACATTTAACCAACACAAAAGTGATTTTTTTAACCAATATTTTATTTGTATTTATATTATATAATAATAAGTATATTTTGTACATCTTTGATTTTTAAAATAAACAATGTTTCGACAGCGGACCGGATAGCAAGAAGATAGTTTGTCTGCACTAGAGAGAAAATAATATTATGTACAGTCACACGGGGCAATCTAACCAACAACGACGTGGTTCGGCGAGACAATAGTCGACAATCATTATCGTCGGGTCAATAATCAATATTATAATATCCATATTGATATATTATCATAAAGGTACGGTTTATTATTTTATTTATACGAAAATAATGACACAATGTGTCGGCAATTATATAATAGTGCGTAATGACAATATAATTTAGTCGTGGGCGGACGTCGCTGTCTAAGTAGTAAGTGGTAGTCAGTGGCGGTGGAAGTGGTGGTGGAAGTGGCGACGGCGGCGGCGGCGGCAGTTGGGCACGGTTCGATTTGGAACGCATGTTTAAAAAAAACCGGCTTATCACGCAATCGCTTATCACCGATTTACAGCAATGATCGACGGCCGACGACTACAACCTATTATAGCAGCTCATTGGAGATGGTAATTACCATTTACCGGCGACAGTAGTGACCGTTTGGACGACCGTTCGATTAAAATTAAAATAACAACAATTCATAGTCCAGACATTACTACGTCAACCCCCCTTGTCACCAACCCAAGAACGACCAGACGATATCACCGATCGCCAACAACTTTGGTTCCAATACTTCAACCGCTCAAACAAAATATTAAGTAAAGCACTCACCACTTCACGTCTCTTAAGCCACCGACCACAGGGACTTTCCTCCAGGATTTCACTCTCCTCTTCGGAATCGTCGCCGCTCTCCAGCGAAGTCTTCTTGACCGCGACGGATGTGGCTGCTGCTACCACGGCGGCCGTCGGGTCCGGTCCGCGGCCACTGGCCGGCATCGCTCGGCGAGCTCAATCTGCCGCCGCGACAGCGACTGCTGTTCTCGCTCCTCGCACAGTAACAGTCGCACTCGGACGGATACCGCGGTTTGACGGCGGCATTACCGTTGTTCGGTAGACACTCGATCGATACGTGCCCAAGATGTGAAGTGCGATGGGCAATACGCGCTACGCCGACGTCGCGATTTCGGCACTCTTTCAACGTCCGAGGAGGGATTTTCCTAGGGTTTTACCGCGAAGGGGGGCCGCACCGACCGTCCGACAGCATTGTATTTTCGCCACGAATGTGTGTTCGAAACCGCAACAACAAAATAGGGAGGGATACGAAATATGTGAATTTCGTCGTCGCGCACTGGGTAAACGAACTCACGCACACTCGAGCGACATAAAATAATAATAATAATAATAATAAAAACTATATTACAGATAGTACACGACTTTAACGCGAGTACGCGCGCGCGCAAAACGAACAGACGACCAGCAGGCGCGCGCACACACTCGGACGACGGCGTGCAGTATAATATACGTATATCTATCCGATTTAAAACTTTAAAACAGGCGAGCGCGCGCGCACAAAAACGCAAACGCGGTGTGGCGTGCGAATTTACAATGAGAACGGGTCGGCCGCAAATGTTCTACTGACGGTGTTCCGGGGACGTCGGGACAGCCAGCGGAAAAACGCGATTGCGAGACGGCCGAGACTGTCGCTGCCTCTGCTGCCGCTACTAGGCATTGGTTGCGGCGGCGGCGGCGGTGCCGGCGACAACGGCCGAACGACGGACGACCGAACGCGAAACGGCCCTCGCCCCTCCACCCGCCGAGCGGTTTCGACGACGACGTAATCACGCCGTCGCCGTGTGGGCGTTCGCCGTGCAGATAACGATTATCGTCATCGCCGCCACGCCGCACCATGGGAGGTCCTTATCACAATATTATTTGAATTTCAAGCATATACTATAAATGATTGCACGGTGGCCTATATCGGAACACAGGGCACAGAGTGTATTCAGCGGCGTCAAATATTCTTATCAAATCTGAAATAAGTCACGTCCTTCTAGCGCCCTCTATACTACAACACATCTAACCTCATAGATAATGATATTATTTCTTTATTATCGAATACCACTATTACGGTTGTAAAGATAAATCCGTGACCACTATGAAGCGTTAGTATGACGTGACTTTTTTGTATGTTTACTTAATACTTGTGTATAATAATATAATATTATGTGACTTTATAAGAGCCTTTGGCTCCTTTATATTAAATTATTGCAACCACTTCAGTTTCAATGTCCTTAATTTCAAGTTAGCTTGTTTATCACCGCCAACCATTATCAGCTGCTGTGTACCGCTTGAAGTGCGCGTAGCTCTGCAGACACATTCGATATCCGAACGAAGCAAGTTTACGCGCACAGATGGCGCCAGACATTTCACGGCAACGCGTTGGCTGACCTAAAAGTGTATTTTTATAACATTTCTTCTTTTTTTTATTATACCTCTTTTTTAACATTATGGTTCATGTAGGTACTTATGATTTTAAACTTCCTAAGATTTATTACATTAATTTATCTGAACTCGGATACCGGATAGCTTGTCGGAAAATCTTATTAACTAACTGTTTGGAAACTTGCCCGGAAGTCGAAACCGTACACGAACACAGTTTCTTCATAATTCTCACAATGTCAAATAATTATTTTTAATAATATAATTCTCCTGTGTACGTCACTGAACTCTTCCTAAACGACTGGACCGATTTTAAAGACATTTTTGTGTGTTTGAGTGGGCCCCTGCATGGTTTAGATTCACTATTGGACCCGGAGAGATGCTCACATACAAGGATTTTAAGATTTACAATGGAAAACGAAAATTTGATTTTTGTAAATGGTTTCAAATAAACTATGAAGAAATTATGTCTTAAAACAAATATTAGGGTTGAGTAGCTTATAGAAGTACTCAACAACTACTTGACGGATTGTGTGAACATTTCAAATGGTTCTGGGAGATATCGGGAAAGTTTAGAGAATAGTTTTAATAGTTAAACAGGTGAATTGTCCACCACAGTCGTATTTGTTCACAAAGAGGTACATCGACGAACTTTTTTCTGTGGACTGAGATACACAAAAATCAAAATAAAGATACATCTATTATATAAAGTGCTTATATTTTTTCTTTTTTTCAAGGGCAAAGTCGGGTTATACAGTTAAAAATGAATGAAAGTTTCAAGAAAAGAGTATATCAATAGATTATCAATATCTTTGAGACTTGGAGGGTGTTTATAGCTTATTTTTTCAATTCTTATAGCCTATCAGTAGTTGAAGGGTAGCTCACAGATGACTTTTTTTTCAGCTTTCGAAAAAAATATTTTTGTTTATCTAAATGATTGCCATTGGTTACGTCATATTATATTATTATTTATTTATTTATTCATTTTATTTTAAATTTCATCGGACCATAAGAGATAAGTACAATATAATATGTATATTAGTACAAATATGACAGTAGGTAATACAATTGATATTAATAATAATACAATGATACAATAATTTAAAATTTAAAATTTAAATACATTAAATACAAAAAATTCTATACACATTATCACTAAAAGATTGCAAGGAATAGTAAAGTTAAATAAATAGAATTTTGTATTTTAATATTATACAATTATAATATATTAGAATTTTAATAATAGCATAATAGATTACATTTTTTACAAATACATTTATTAAAAATGCAAATATTTGGCCCATGCAAGGTCAGGCGGAACAGGTTAGGTTAGGTTAGCCTATTATAATATAGAACATAAAAACGATTTATCGTTTGATTAGTTTCAATTTGTCTACAATGAAAACTATTTAAAAGGTTAATTGTAGCTTCAGGTACGCACTTAGTTGGGGTAATTTTAAACTATTATTCGCAGGACGTGCTATAGAAATTAAACATTAATAATGTTCCCAAGTGTTTTGCAAATGTGTACTATTGCGTAGTTATACTACCCGCAAACTATACATGTCATATTATGTACGTACATGCAGTAATTATTTACAAATACTAGAAAGACGGATGTAACCAATGGCTCTCATCCTTTTTATGGCTCACACTCTCTCTCATTTTTTTATTGGCGATAACGCGAGGGCAATTTAAGTGCTCGGTTGACAACAAAAAAATAATCTTCACTTCCATTATTGAAAAACATGAAATGGTTGGTGCATTAATTTTATATAAATTGAGCGTAGGTTAGGTTAGAAATTATGGGCTGTTACAAATTAATACATTTCGCATTAAAAAAACTGTTCAAGTTCATTGTTCATGTATTTACTATTTAGTAATTTATTAAACTGAAAAAATGTTTGTTAATAGATTATTAGAATAAATGACCCAAACGCAGATAAATGAAATATGTTATTTAGATTTAGTTTCTGAATCATTTATAGTTATAACTATATAAGTAATGTATTGATTTAATATTAATATTTTTATAGTGCTTTAATTTATTTTGGAATAATGAATGTGATGAAACTCGGATTATAAAACGAGCGAAATGATTTACCAATTTACCACCCCATTGAATATGCTTTGTGTGCTTGTGTGACTTACGAGTCATAAAAAATATCATTACAAATTTTAAATAATTTTACCATATTTTGTGTGACTATAATTATTAATCATAAAATAAAACTTAAGAATAAATTATATAACACGTGTTACTAGTAATCGCGTAAAAGGACCTCATCAATATTATATAGTATGTACCTACGAGGTTGCAACTGTAGTATCTTCATTGTATAATATCTGACCGAGGTTGTGTGACCTTTTTACAATTATTATTAATAAATAATATATGCTTTTTAATTTTTTTAGTATTAAAGTTAATACACGTCTCAAACGGTTTCCAATATTTCGTTATTGTTGATATAACAAGAACATACTTCATAAGTGAAAAAAATAATATTTAAATTATATAATAATAATACGAGTATATGCGTAAACGTCTTATGTTTATTCTAATGTATATTAATTCATACTTATATAATTGATGATAATTGTTAAAACTAAAACCAATAGGCTGTGGGGAAGTTTATGACATACCAATGAGTGTATCCTATTATGGTAAACAGAGTGATCTAGCTCGTGACTCACTACAATAATTAAATTTGTATGAAATTTCAATGTGAAAACAAATTGTTATTAATTATCTATATTTCCATATCAATTTGTTGTTATAAACATTTGAGTTTTCAAGTTATAATAAATAATGACGTGACTGCTTATTTAAGATAAAACTTGAATTAATTTTCTCAAGTAGGTAAACTAAGAACTGTAAAACGTTTGCTTTTTTATGTTAACAAAATACAGTACCTATATTTAAGTGTTTGACTTAATTTTTATTTAAAATTGCGATACTGAATAAACATTAAAAAAACACACATATAGGTACTACCTATAATTGTTATATCTATTTTGCATACCCCGAATACCTACTGAATACTGAATTAACAACGATCACATTTTTCAAATCACACCAGCTATAATGGATATACACACGAACGAAAAATGAAGGAAAGCGAGTGTGCTGCTATACGAAGCCTGCAGTACCTCGTTGTTCCGGAACTTGTTCAGCCGATGCTGGGATATGTTGGTATTTATTTTTTCAGTTTTTGATTTAAATCTCGGATTTTGGTATTTATTTTTCCAATTTCGGTTTTTAACGGTGTTAACTAACCAGTGGCTTATTTAGGATTTTGATACATTGAGGACACGTTTTTTTTAATGCCTTCTTCACTGTTTCTGACTTCTGTTCTAATGGCCGGCGTGACGTAAAACTATGCCTCGTCACATTGCTTCACCTTTTCTGTTGCCTGCTTCTGCGTTGAGACCACGTCGTCTCTTATCAACTCAACCGGTCCAGTACTGGAATCTTCGTCCAGTTGAGTGATGATCGTTGACTTGTCGCCACCAGCGACCTTTCGTCTCATAACTGAGAAATACCGCTAAATCTTTGATGGATGTGTCCTCGTAATAGTTGACGAATACGAGTGGTTATATGTTTCCATTGTTTCATATTCGATTTGATATTGTTCATGATGTCCTTAATAATATTGTTGTTTCTACTTGGAGTGTGATTCAGCCATATTATTTTTTGCAGGTAGATATAACAGTCAAAATAATATGCAAGTGAGCCGATTCTGAATTTCATCCCAGACCGTCGCCAATAATTTAAAACAAAACATCGTTTATTACTTGCCGGCGAGTACAGCTGCATCATATTATTAATCGGAAAGCATCAGCTGGATTTCAGGCTCGTTTATTTTTCCAAACACCTCTATTATTATTTATTATTATTGATATACTAACTATACTGTCTATACGTCTTATGCAGAGGCATATTGTTATATTGTATTATTAATTATAATATTTTAACTAGATTTTATATTTATTGATTTCCATCGATAAATGTATATGTATAATGTATATGTATATTGTATATGTATTCTGTTGTAATCGTTTTATATTTGTACACAGGCGTAGTCTTTTAGATTCCGATTGGAGTGATCTATGCGTGTTTGTATGTGTTAATCGGGTATATGTGTGTGTACAGAGCCGTGTCAAGCTATTCAGCGCCCCGGGGCAAAATTTTTTCGCGCCCCTTCCCTACAATTTAACTATTAATCGTTTTCTTATCATATAAATCTCCATATTATCAAATACCACGAAAAACTAACTACAATATAATATACAATATTTAATATATATTTTTAGTTTATTTTAACTAAAAATATTGATAACAAATTAATCATTAATAATTAATTAATATATAAAAATACCAAACAATATTTTACAATTTTTTTCATGCTTTATCTTTGGCAAATCTCTTGACTAAAGTACTCCAATCAATACTCTTTACAACTTTAGACTCCATGCACAATAATGATAAATATGATGTTTTTTCATTAGCTAATGATGAACGGAGATATGTTTTTACTCTTTTCAAAACAGAAAATGAGCGTTCACCACTGGCATTTGAACAAGGCATGCATGATGCATGTAAATATTTTAAGGGCAATTTCTATCGATGGAAATGTAGAACTTATATTATATTTTATTAATGCTTTCAATAAAGCGTGAAAAGAATTTTTTTGACTTTCTGGCATACACAAAACCATTTGTTTAAACTGTAATAATTCTTCAACAAATTCAATATCTAAGTCATCTTCGTATATATTTACTAAATTTTCAGCTCTTAATTTAAGCTCAGTTTGGTCTATGTCTTCTAAATGTAAGAAAATCCAAATTTTTCATTGAATTCATTGTACGCTTCTTTTCGTTTATTTAAATTACTGATTAAACCATCAATGATAGGAAAAAATGTTTTAATTTTCATGTTTTCTTTTTCTGAAAACATAATATCTTCCGAACCTCCTTCATCAAAAAATACAGCCCTTTTTTTTGTCTTTTCAAATCATTGGGAAACAAATCTATTTCACAAATACTTATAGCTTCATTTAATATAGTTTCAAAATTATTTCTTAATTCACAAATATATAATTCAAGTGATGTGTATAATTTTACCACCGATGATAAATCCATATCAACACATTGTAAACTTTTGCTGGTCATGTTGAATCTTTCTAATATAGGTGTCCACAAGACTAACATGAATGTAAATTCTAGGTTTTTCATTTTTTTGAATAGAGCTAATGCTTCATGTCTTGTAGCAGGCCTCTGACTTACATCTTCTGATATATTTTGTAATGCAACAACAATCTTTTTATGACCATTTTTTATTGACTTGCAAACAAAATATCTTGATGACCATCTTGTAGGACACACATTTTTAAGCAATGTTGAATTAGGAATAGAATTAAGTTCATTTTCTAAGATCTTCCAACGTGATGTAGAACCAGAAAAAAAAGTATACAAACCTTGAGTGATCATAAAAAACCGATTACCTACACTAGTCTCTTCAGCTGCAAATGTACCAACTAAATTCAGTGAGTGCGCCGAACAAGGCACAAATTCAGCAGTAGAAGAGCTTTTTTTTTATACGGGATTGTAATCCATTATAAATTCCAGACATATTTTGAGCATTGTCATAACTTTGTCCTCTACAGTTTTTCATGTCAATCCCAAGATCAGAAAAAAAGTGAGCCAATTCCATATCTTTTGCCTTATGACCAACCGAAGGTAAAAATCCCAAAAAACGTTCAACAGGTGAACCGTCTGGTAGAATATATCTTATTGCAACTGTAAGTTGATCAACTTTTGATATATCAGGTGTAGAGTCTATGATAATTGAGAAATATTTAGAAGTTATAGTTTCCTGCACAATATTTTCTAAAACAGTTTTAGTCATGGGACTATGGGAGGTTAGACATGTAGTATATTAAGCTCAAATAAAGGCGCCCCATTGTTTTTACAAAACTACGGCGCCCGGGGGCAATTGCCCCCTTTGCCGCCCCCCCCTTAACACGGCTCTGTGTGTGTATAAGTGTAAACACAAAGTGTTTTAAAGTAGGAAAAATGCTTTGAATTTATACATTGAGGGTGATTTCTAATTGGCAATTGGATCTATTTGGAACTTTTGAAGGGGGAAATTGAAAATAAAAGTTTTTTTCCTAATAATTAGGAAAAATGACAAAATGACTAAAAATTTTTTTATTGGCATCTCCGATGCATGGTTTAATTTTCAAACTGCTCTTATAGTCATTTTACATTTTCGATTTTTTTTCTTATATTCAATAAATAATTTTTTCTTGGTAAAAATGTTTAAATAATTTACTTCACCTACTTCAGCAATGTCTTAACAACTCAAAAGTATGCTGTAGTCGAATGATGTCTTATTTTTTCAATGTTAAGCTTATCATATATAAGTTAGTTTTTTCTGATTTTCTTTATAAGCTATGGACATTGAATTTGCAATTAAATTAATGTTTGTAATTTTTTTTGCGAATAACAAACCCTTAAAATTACAATAATTTGTTGTAATACTGCAGCGTATAGTAAACTAGTTCGTACTAAAGTCGGTTGAAGTTATATTTCTAAAGTTATATTATTTTATCTATACAATATTGTAAAATCGTTAAGATAATTTTTACATGTTGTCATTAATTGTACAGTGACTGTTTTATCCATCGCTAATCGTGTTTAATCGCATTAATTCTCGAGTATTTCCAAGCAAATGAAGCATGTGTACATGCATAGAATTCAAAAATCTAGACTACTGTTTGAAATTTAAATAAAATCACATTTGTTAGTTACAATTGGGTATTTGATTGTATTAAACTACGATGCGCTGGTGCCGCAACTTATAACGCATGTAAACCAATACTTTAAAAATTCATTTTGGAATTTTTTTAACTAAATTCTGAAGTATAGTAATCTTATGTTCCTTTAACTATCTAAAATAACATTATTTGATATTATAATTTTAGATTTGAAGTTCATACATACTTACTTGAAATTTGATTTGCCTTTTGAAAAAAATAAAATATGCCTCTATATAATAGGTACCAGTATTTACCAGCACTTTCTTTGTACAGTTTTACCACTCAAAACGAAACAGATATCAATTTTTTTTTAAATATTTGAATTGTAACTGAAACCAAAAAAAATCATAAAGCTCTGAAGCCCTATCGTTCTGGCCTGAACTAGATATTACATTTTGAGTTTTTTACTACATAGAATTTATAATGCTCGTGGTTATTATTTGTCCCTATTTTTGACTTAATAATTTGAGTATCTATAATTAAAATAATATTTGAACTGTATAACAAGAATTTGAATGTTAGTAAATATAGTTTTAGTTTAATTTGTAATTTGAACACTATTCTTCGACATTTACAATGTATTTGATAGACGTTGAAATAATCATAATATTAAAAATATAATCAAAACAAAACTTTTAACATTTCTATACAACACAACATATATAAATACTGTCCTTATAAATACTGAAGTTTACAGACATGTACAGTATTATTTGAAAAAGATTTATTTATAATTTATTAAAGACAATAAAATATTTAATATTTATTATATACAATATACATTATACATCTAACATAAGTTTATATATATAATACACTATATAGAATTTTCTTTCTTTCAATAAACTGCAGAATAATTTTGAATTTTAATACTTATAAAAATAATACAGGTTTATCTATTTTTTTATAGCTAGATATGTAATATTATATAATATGCATACATAAAATACAATACTATCTAGAAAATCTTGATTTTTTTATGAACGTTTGAAATTTGAACAACTGTGAATTTGTTTAACCTTGTCCAATATAATTTGCGATTTCGGGTAATAACGCCAACCACTTATAAATTTATACAAGATTATAATTTATTCATATGGTCTAGGTACAGAAAATTTATTTAAAAAAAAAATTGTCCTAGAGAATTAGAGTAATTATTCCCCCTTCCCTCATACATCTCAATCACAAAATCAATAAACAAATATAGACATCCTGTAGAATCGTTTTGTTAATGCGATATTAGGTACCTATATAATTGCAATACGTCTATATCGTATCAAGACAATAATACAAACAATGCTTCAAAAAGTGCTTCAGAATACAGCAATAATACTTACTCAGATCTGATCTGAACTATTTTTCTTTTATGAAATCGTACTACTTTAGATATTGCATTTGAAAACTTCGATAAGAAGTTACTATTGCCGTATTCCAACTAAATTATTAAACTTGTTTCAAAGAAAAAACAATACCCATAGTTGTTATATAGCAAAGTATAACGGTGTCTCTTTTAAAATAAACGTTACCTCCCACCGCCCGCGTCCCAGTTTTCATTTTCTCTCAAATAGTCAGGCGCGAATAAAATATGATGTATTATTATTTTAAAATGTATAATAGCAATGTATCGAGTACGAGATGTACAGTCTTGCTACCCGATGTGAAAGTAATCGAAGCAAGATGAATGCTGAATTTACGTCTATGTAAATAGTTTATAATAATACAGTATATTTGTCTATTTATATTAAACATACAACGTTCGACATTGAATTTAAACAAAAGGGATGAGTTACGAAATTATAAATAACAAATTCCAACAAGAAAGCGAGGAACCCTCATAAATTCCAGTTCATCACTTCATTCCAGACCCACTGTAACATATTGGGATTGGCAATTTTAAACTGATCTAATTTAATTTTTCCACATTTTGAGGCAACGGTAGTTTGAAATTTGAATTCACCCCGTCTTTTCACATAAACCTAAAAAAAAGTCTATTGGATTAAGTACCTGGTGGGTGGCTATTGCCTAATTAACATGTATTTGTACATGCGATTTTACCCATTTGGTGAGATTACTGCAAATTTAAGAAAATCATTGAAATAAGTATATAATGTATTATACATTCATATCGTTAAATGTAGGTATACTAATATATATTATGTGTAAATGTCAAGAATATTAAAATTATATATAATGCGTACACAAATAATGATGTTTCTAATAAATTCATTTATTATAGATTTAATAGAAATATTACTTTTTTGAATTGAGTTACATATTAGGTATGAGAAATAATGTTAAGCTTAGTCTATAACTTTTTTTATTGTATTAATAATAGTTGTTTGCTTTTTATAAACGTGATTCGTGAAGATAATTTCTTATATTTTTCAATACCTACCAAAGAACAATATTAGGATTTTATATTAGATACACTCAATACATTTTTAGTTGACTTATTCTTCTTCTTATATTAAATGTTATAATTTATAACTTATACTACGATAAAATTTTTCCTTTAATTAAAAGTATCTATATTGCTGTGACATGTTGCTATCAACGCGTTTTGTTTTCAACAGTGTATTTACACGAACTTGGTCAAGTGGTACCAATCTAATATGCTACCAAAAACAACCCTCAAAGTTGAAAATAAAAGCATTTTTATTCTTCTTAAAATTGACGTCAGACACATAAAAAAATACATAACTGTTAAACAAATACATTTATCGGTCCACAAAAAGAGGAGTTTTTAAATGTGTTTGAAAAATAGAATTTTGTATCATCAGAGTTCACTCCTCAAATAGTATAGACATCAAAAATATTAGTAATTTGAGAATACGGTCTTTAAATATACTTAAAAATTCTAAAAACAGAATTTAACAAAATTGTATTATTAAATGGAAAAATGGGAGTGAGCATGTTTAAAACATCATCCTGTATATATAAATTAGTTATAATATAATTTTATCACCGGGCAATATAATCTCCATCTTCAACTATAAAAAATCGGTCGAAAAATAACAATAAGAATATTAAACTGCTGTCATCAAAACCAATATCTTAGGCTAGCACGCAGGAGACATCGGATTCAATGACACTGTAATTAGTATTTTATTTAATTGTTACAATGCATAATATGATGCTTTCTGAGTTCAAAATTTCAATAAAATGTTTTAATAGACATTTAAAGTTACTTATATACTACATATTGTGTCAATAAAATTACAACAAAAAACACTTGTACAACTCTTGTTATTAAAAACAACTTCACTGCATCTTTAAATTAATACCTTTAATCTCTAAATTGCTTTAAATCTTACAGAAAATTATTTGATTATTATTTGTTTTTTTATAAATATTGAGATTGGCTGTTTAAATAAAATTTTTAATTCAAAATGTTCTACTCAGAAAATAAGGTATACTCCTGAAGTCCCAAGATAAAGATTAATTAATTGATAAAAAAACATTGGTTTTAAAATAATAAATTATATTATATTATGACTTATAAGCAATAACATTTTTCTAATTTTACTGTTATACTAAGAAAATCTACTTTATCGTAGGAAAAATACTAATTTAATATAATTGATTGATCATACACGTCAATCAATGAAAATGATAAATTTTTTGAAAGCCCAAGGTTATTATTTTATACTCAGTATATGCTACTCCGAGTAGTACAACGTAATTTTAACCTTTGATATTCTTCGAGTATTATGGGCACTGCGTAATTTTGGTTAATAGTGGTAATTTAGTATTATATGGAATGATGATATCCATTATTTCACTAGTGTTCAGAATTATTGTGGAAATTACAAAAAAAAAAATGTTGGTGTGTTTTAAATGTTTTAATAGAGTTTTAGATTTTTGCAGATTTTTGAAGATTTATATTGACATTATGTTCCCATTCTCTCGTTATAAACTTATAATACAAGTATTATTATTATTATTATTATTACCAGCTATACAATATACTTTAAATTTGATTATTTTATATACACATTTTACATGCTGGTCATGTTATAGGTTTCCCAGTGTGCCTTTAAAGCGAATTATATTTTTACTTTTTTAAAATCTAATGTGTATTATTGAA